TACAATGTGATCCAGAGTAGGAGTCACTCATTGGAGAGGAAACGCATCGTAAATAAAATTTAACTTTAAAATATTTATTGTTGAATTCTACTGAAATGAATTGGGAGTAGTCCAACCTATGTGGACTTGAAGATACAACCTGCTTGTGCCAACGCATTCACATCTACTCCGAGGTCATGACAAATTGATGATTAGGTAAGAGAACATCTCAGGAACAAATTTGATGCATTGAACTCTAATGGTAGAAGACTTGACGAGCTACAGGATACCACTAAGAATATCACATACGAAGAGAGCCAGCAGTCATTAAACAGATGGGAAAGAACGAGAAGATAACGTGGTTGTCAGAAGGGACTCTGAAGTGTCCTTTTGTTTGTACGGTCGTAAAGACAAATGAGAGAAACGAAGAAGTCAAAGAGCTGAACAGAAATTTTCAGAGGGCAGCTTGAGAAGATAAAATAAAATATTGTAATGAAAGGTGTAAAGACCTAGAATTAGAAAACCCCAAAAGAAGAACACATTCAGTATATTTTAAACAGAAAGAACTAAAGGAAAATTCAAGCCTTGAGTTGCCATCTTAAAAGAATTTATGGGCCAAATATTGAATGATGTAAAAAGAATCTAAAGAAGACAACCGAAAAGTGGGTGAAGGGAGATGTCGGACAGGGCAAGATATGACAAAATAACAATTTATAAATTATCAAGGGCTCATGAGGGAGGGGGGAGCGGAGAGGGAGGGGGGAAAATGAGGACCTAATGACGGGGGCTTAGGTGGACAGGAAATGTTTTGAGAATGATGAGGGCAATGAATGTACAAATGCGCTTTACACAATTGATGTATGTATGGAATGTGATAAGAGTTGTATGAGCCCCTAATAAAATGATTTTTTTTTAAAAAAGGAAGATAATACAGAAGCACTGTGCCCAAAATAACAAGTTGACATTCCACCATTTCAAGAGGTAGCATGTGATCAAGAGTCAGTGGTACTGAGGGAGGAAGTCCAAGCTGCACTGAAGGCATTAGCTGAAATCAAGGCTCCAGGACTTGACAGAGTAACAACTGAACTGTTTCAACAAGCCGATGAAAAACTGGAAGCACTTGCTCGTCTATGCAGAGAAATTTGGAAGACAGCTACTTGGCTAAGATATTGGAAGAGATATTTTTGGCACCCATTCCAAAGAAAGAGTACCCAACATAATGCTCAAATTCAGAAGCATTATCATTGAGATCACATGTAAAGGACATGGTGCTGAATCATCCAACAGCACTTGCAGCAGTACATTGACAAGGAGCTGCCAGGGCCTCAGGTCAGATTCAGAAGAGGATAGGGAACAAGAGATATCAGTGCTGATGTCACCTGGATCTTGGCTGAAAGCAGAGGATACCAGAAAGATGTTTACTTGTGTCTTATTTCCTATGTCAAGGCTTCAACAGTGTGGAACATAACAAACATAACCTGGAGAAGAATGGAATTCCAGAACACTTCATGGTGCTCATGAAGAACCTGTACTTGGATCAAGAGGCAATTGTGCAAACAGAACAAGGGAGTGCAGCCTGGTTTGATATCAGGAAAGGTATATGCCAGGGTTGTATACTGTTACCACACTGACTCAATCTATACACTCAGCAAATAATGAGAGAAGCTGCACTGCAGGAGAAAGTCTATGGTATCAGGATTGGAGGAAGGTTTACTAACAATTTGAGATATGCAGATAACAGAGCCTAGTTTGCTGAAAGTGAGGAGGACTTGAAGCACTTACTGAGGAAGATCAAGGATTGCAGCCTACAGCATGAATTACAACCCAATGTAAAGAAAACCCAAATCCTCCTCACAACTGGACCAGTAGGTAACATCGTGATAAACAAAAAAATATTGAAGTTGTCAAGGATTTCATCTTGCTAGGATACACATTCAACGCACATAGAAGCAACAATTAAGAGACCAAAGAATGAACTGGGTCGATCTTCTGCACAAGACTCTAAATTGGAGTCGAGCAAAGATGCTACTTGAGGACTTGGGTGTGCATGACCCAAACCATGGTAATTTCAACCGTCTCATACGCATGGAAAGTTGGACACCGAATAAGGAAGGCTGAAGAAACATTGATGCGTTTGAATGATGTTGTTGGGGAAGAATACTGAAAGTTCCATGGACTGCCAAAAGAACAAAGAGGTCTGTCTTGGAAGAAGTGCAGCCAGAAGGCTTGTTAAAAGGGAGGATGGTGACACTCTGTCTCATGTACTTTGGACATGGTATTGGGGGAGTCCAGTCCTTGGAGAAGGACCTCACCTGTGGTAAAGTGAGGCACAGGGAGAAAGGGGAAGACCCTTGACAAGATGGACTGACACAGTGGCTTCCACAATGTGCTCAAGCATAAGGACAATTGTGGAGATGGTGCAAGACGGGATGGGGTTTGCTTCTGTTGTCCATGGGGTCCCGCTGTGTTAGAACAGACTCGACGGCCCCTAACCTAACAACAAAAACAACAAGGTGAGAAAGAGAGTGAGAGAAAAATGCAAAGGCTGAAAAGGTGGTTGCTGGACATTTATGACAAGTATTATTTAACTTTATATTTTGAAAGTAATCCTGTGACCCCCTTATAATTTGCTGGAAGAATAAAAGCCTCTCGCGGTGGCTGTTCCATGCCATTCTATTCACTTATGATTCCTCCAGATGTCTACAGCACGACTGAAGGCTTATTTAAACTAGTGGGTTAAGTGTTAGGCTACTGACCACAATGTTAGCAGTTCAAACCCACCAGCTGCTCCACAGGAGAAAGGTGGGGGCGTCTTCTTGGGCTGTGATCTGCAAGGTCAGCAGTTCAAAAATACCAGCTGCTTTGCAGGAGAAACATGGGGCTTTCTACTTCCATAAAGAATTACAGTCTTGGAAACCCACAGGGTCAGCTCTACCCTGTCTTATCGGGTTGTTATGAGTCAGCATTAACTTGATGGCAGGAGTTTGGCTTTTTGGTTTACTGTTCACTTAAGAGACTGCAGTTCAATACAAACATATCGAGAGCCCTGGTGGCTTAAGGGGTTATGCGTTGGGCAGCTAACTGCAAGGTCAGTTGTTTGCTGGAGAAGAACACTGATAGTACAGTGGACTGCCAAAAGAACAAACCAACCTGGCTTAGGAAGAGTACAGCCAGAACGCTCCTTAGAGACAAGAATGGCTAGACTTTGTTTCATGTATTTGGCCATGTCTGCAGAGACCAGTCCCTGGAGAAGGACATCATGCTTGGTAAAGTAGAGGGCAGTGAAAAAGAAGAAAGCCTTTGAGGAGATGGATTGAGGTAGGGGCTGCAACAATGGGCTCAAACATAAGGTGAACTTTGAGACTAGTTCAGGATCAGGAGGTCTTTCCTTCTATTGTACGTCAATTTACTATGCGTCAGAACCAACTCTATAGCACCTAACAACAACAACAACAACAATATTGTTTATTAATGTGAGCTTATGCGTGATAATGAAAGGGTAGATATAGAAGAAGCAGCCCTGATGCTATCTGTAAATACTAATAAATCTGCACTTTCTCTACACTCTAGGAAGATATTTTATAAGCCAATGTGGACTTTGGGAAATACTTACACAGTCATTGAATTAGGGAAAAAAGCATACTGTGGCAAAAGATGATCTGGATTGAATAATCCACCTTGCAATATGCAAAATAAAGACAAAACACAAATGTACATTATGTACACAGGTGAGTCTAGCATATAGTAACAAACATATATAACATACAGTAACACACATATATATGAGGGGAGAAGAGATGTTGCTGTTGTAAGCACATTAATTAAAGTGTAGCTCGGACACACCACTTTATCCGATTTAAGACTCCATTCTGAGTCTCTCGGGAGACAGGTGAGGCTCTTTCTCCAAAGTGAAGAGTCTCTGAAACCCTGTGCAGGGCGGCTGTGAGTTGGTTTGGACTCAGTGGCTGGGTTTTGGGGTTGGGGGGCGACTTAATAACTTCAGTGTGACCTGGGCTGGGCTAGATGTTTTCATTGTAGACTATCCTCATTCATTCATTCATTCATTCATTCATTCATGCTTTCAGTAAACAGTCCTTACATAGCTCCTATGGACCACCAGGATGGGATGAAGAGGGGACTAGCTCATCAGACTCATGTCCTGCCCCATAAGGTGCCTGCAGTCTGGCTGGATGAAGAAACACTTTTATGAAACTCTCATTCATGTATGCAGATGCTAGGTCAACAAAATTTCATCAGTCTCTTAAAAATGTCTACAAGGCCTTTTCTATAGATTAGTTCCATAGTCAGTACTGGGAAAAGAAGTAATCCTCACACCGCTGTTAAAATAGAAACCCCGTTATCTAGAATTTTCCTCTATTTGGAGCCTTTCCTAAAACACAGTTCAAGCACACGAAGGGATATTAACTCTTTCTATTCGGAGTTCTCAAATATTTCTTCATGTGGGGATTTTACATAAATACCTGGAGCGTGAAGGGAATGTGGGGTGGAAAGGGAGAATCGATTACAAGAATCTAGGTATTGTCTCCTCCCTGGGGGATGGACAGCAGAGAAGAGGGCAGGGGGAGACGGACAGTGTAACTTATGACAAAACTATAATACGTTGTGAATTATGAAGGGTTCATGAGGGAGGGGGTGGGGAGGGAGGGGAAAATGAGCAACTGGTATTAAGGGCTGAGGTGGAGGGCAAATATTTTGAGAATGATGAGGGCAGCGAATGTACAAATGTGCTTGACACAATGGACGTATGTATGGATTGTGATGAGAATTGTACGAGCCCCCAATAAAATAATTTAAAAAAAAGATGAAAACAAAGACCTAAACTAAGAAACTAGATAATGGAAAATGCTTAACAGGAAGACCAAAAGCACCTATAGAGCAAGTGAAGGTTAAAAGAACTAAGCCATTGGAAATTTGTGAATATTAGCAGTAACACTGGATTCAGCGCTAACTGGCAGAACCCAAAAGCCCTATACACGGAGGGAGGTATCACATCCACTTACCTCTTTCACCAGTAAACTCTCAGCCTTGCTCGCTGCATCCTCGGGCACTGTAGAGTACAATGTTCGGATGTCCCAAGGCACCGTGGCGATCTGAGAGGAACAGCGAGAAGAAAGAAAGCACTTCATTGTGAAAGCACTGAGCAGCCTAGCAGGCTGCCAACACAGCTGGGAAGTTATCTCAGATCTTCCCATTGAAGGCTAGCAAGTGTTTACAGAAACTTCTGATGTTCTTAACATGGCTCTAGTTACCACTGCCGGCAGTTACAACAATTCCAGTCTTACCACTGCAGTTCATAATTTTAATTCCAGCATCTTCTCTGCAGCAAACAAACTAACAACAACAAATGGGCACCTATTTTGACTTCAGTGCATTCCTATGGGTACATGTATCTTATTTATTTTTTGGTAATGTCAAAACCAACATCAAGTGGAGAAAAAGTAGAAAACGTCCGTGCTATTTTACTGCAATGGTAAATCCCCTTTCGGGTAACTGCAGAGTGCAATTGGCTCCTTTTGGAAGCTGTGTGTGTGTGTGTGTGTGTGTGTGTGTACATGCCCACGCTTATAGGTGTAGGGTGCATGTGAGAGGTCACACTTAGAGGTGATAGAGTAGAATGGGTGCTCGGTACATCTGAACCTTGAAGAAAACACATCATCTTTTCTTTTTTTTCATTGAAACAGAACACTTTTCAACCTCAATGCCAACCGAACACATTCAAGACAATGGAAACACACAGGCTAACATGCAATGTAATCCTGAAAATAAACCATCCCAAATAGAACGTCCTGGACTGTTTCCTCGTTATAGATCGTCAGCTCCTCCCAGCTGGAAAAAAAGGATGATGTGAACCGTAAGCGTCCATCACCAGCCAGCTGCTTCCATGGGTCTGCCTACTTCCTCACACTCTCAGGGTTGCTAGGATGATCAATCTGTTGACACTGATGGAATTAACACTGTGATCTTTTCTACTGTACATCCCGAAAAGCACGTATGATTCATCAGGAAGTCTAAAGCACGGATGAAGATTTATTTCAACTAGTGAGTTAAGTGCTAGGCTACTGACCACACTGCATTCAGACCCTCCAGTTGCTCCAGAGGAGAAAGGTCGAGGTTTCTGCTTCCTTCAAGGCTGGCATTTTCAGAAACCGAACTGGGCAGCCATCCTCTATCCTGTCAGGTCACTACAAGGCAGAATTGACCCGAGGACAGTGAGAGCTCAAAGAACGGCATTTTTCCAGCCTAAACTGCTGAAACCGATAAACGTCTCAAGAACCATCCTTCATGTGTAAGGAAATGGTTAGGAATGAGGTCAGGGAGTTTCCGTCTCAGGAGCTGCTGTGGCATTCTGCCACCAAGGGCCACCAGGCTTCCCACCAGCCTCTTAGTTTCTTCAAATCTCTCTTTGTTCTCATTCTTGAAGTCAACTCCGTGACCAAAGTCCTCAAAAGAGGATTTGTTATATATGCTGAGTGTGTGTCAAAAGGTCTGTGTGCGTGTCTGGTTGTTTCTGTTGGTGTGCGATGTCTGTGTGAACATGTGTATGGTTTATGGTCTGTGTGTATATGTGTGTGCATGCTTCTCTATGAGCACACAGGAACTGTCATACGTGGCTGAACCAGTGTGTGTGCACATGCAAGTAGGTACATATATGGTGCGTAATGAATGTGTGGATTTGAGATGCAAGTGTGCATCTGTCTAAGGATGTGGTTTGTGAGTTCGTGTGTATGTGGTATGTGGTATTAGAACGTGTGGCTATTGAGTGGTGTATGAATACACAGGTGTTTTCTGGATGAGTCACTGTGTGTGCGTGTGTGTGTGTGTGGTTATGGTGCTTTTTTGTGTGCGTGTCAGTGTGAGTGAGTTGGTGCTTGCAGTTCTGTGTAAGCAAGCACGTGCATGTTGGAGATCATGGGCTTGGTCATAAGGAAAGAGGAAGAAGGTCATGTGAATTGAAAAAAAAGAGAGGACGAAAAATCATCAGAAAGCTATTTTCTGATACATTAAAACAACAACAACAGAACCCAAACTCATTGTAATTGGGTCACTTCTGCTAATCCAAAACCACTACTGGAGGGCCTTGAGCTCTGGCTGGACACATGTGCCCCAGGATTTGTCCACGATGGCGAGAACAGAGCTCGGAAGTCCTGTCTAAACGGTCACAGCCATCACGCCAGGGTGAGAGAAGATTCACACACGTGGAGCCCTGGCTTCCTCTATGAAGGACACCAGGTCCAGCCGAGGGACTACCATTTAGAGTTTACATCGCAAGTTCCTTCTGCATTTCCTCCTGGATGTTGCTTATTTTATGTGATTCACTCAGATAGAAGATAAGCCATGATTAACATCTGCTGAAACGTTCGGAATAGGAGATTAAAAATTATGCCTGCAATGAGCTCTTGGGGTTTGTGCTGGATTGCCGTTATCTAGGCATACCTCTGTTTCCTGTTTGGAAACTTACGGCAACGTTTTAACTTACTTGGTTTGCAAAGAAAATGACATTGCGTATCTCTTAGAGATACGCTTTCTCTAAATCCAAAAGTTTCTCCCTTTTGGCCATTATTTTAAAACAATGATTTTATACACATACATGGTCTTTTCCATTATCCTAATGGATTCTTTCTTTTTATTTGTAATAATTGATGCCAGAACATACTTAAAGTCATTTGGAGGGACTTGGTTCAAAGTCCAGCTCAGTTAAAATCCTGTCCAGTTAAACTATAAACGTATTGCTTTGCTAAGGGCCTGGTATGTAGCATAATTGAGCAGACTCCGTACTTAGCTGGTTTAAGAAGTTGCTTTGCCTTCTTTTTCATAAAGAGGAAGTGAATAGACTATGAGCTCAGTTTTGCAACAACCTCGTTAATAATCACCTGATTAGTGACCTCACAGGGAAAAGATGGACCCGACATACATGTCCGTTAACGCTCATTTGAAAATATATGACACCGGGTCAATAAAAATAGCCTGAGCAGGTGCTTTAGGGCTGAGCAACTACTTCTAGATCTGAACTGCATTTTCTTTGCAAAATAAGACAATTATGGCTGACTCACTCTCGTGTGGCTACGTGACAATTCTGAAAATTCCTTTAGCTGCATGTATGTATTTGTTGTATATCTAATGCATTTTACGGCATACAGCAGGGTAAGGCAAGCGGTACATATATAAAACAGGCCTATGATGCCTGCTGTTCTTTCTGATCGTGCTGTACTACTAGAGCATTGTCCTGAACACTGGGAGCCCACGGTAAAGCTTCAGAAGTGTGTTCTCATTTGGAGAACTGTGCTCCTTCATCTCTTCTCGATTTCTTTAACATGCCCCTGTTGACACCAACATAAATTGATCAAATAAGGAGAAGATGATAAAGAATCGCATTTGTTAACGGCATTAATATGGTTACTAAGAATTTCTTTTCTGAGAATCAGACGCTTTCAGACCACTACAAGTTGCTTTGGCCACAACAGACTTCCTGTTTTTCTTTAGTAACCCATTGGTCGACACTTAGTGTAGCTCAATAGCATGAAACGGATCTGGGGCGCCTTGGCACCCAGCGAGCTCCTCTTCTGCTGGTCGAGCTTTCTGAGGGGCCTATTGTTCAGCGAGGAGGCCTTGGGAAATACAGTATTTGCTGTGAAATGATGCAAGCTGGCCCGCGTTTGCACTTTTACTTCTGAAATGTTCAGATCTCATGGGATGCATCCGGTCCCTTCCTGGTCTCTGCTCTCTGGTGGTGACGAGTCCTGTGTTTCTGCCCCAGTCCCCCTGCGAGTGGCTAAAATAACTACAGACACTTCATTCTCATCACGCCAGGGCCGTTTCTCAATTGGCCCACAATCGGACAAAGGCCACTCTCAAAGTCTAAAACAGAGGCTGTTTTCCCCCATCCTGGGGGGCAGAAAGGCTCCTTCGGTTGGCAGTGTAATAGCTAGCCGCTCCAAAGGAGAGCCATCAGTGAAGGTGCCGCCAGCTATCGATCAGTCCCGGCTTGGGAAGCCACCCGCTCAGTGTCTCAGTCTCACCCAGGAGGACCAGGAACCATCACCCCGTTAGCAAGTCCCATTGATGCCAGTGATTAAAAGTGACCTTCATCCAATTTCCTCAGAGGGAGACACTGAGTGTTCTATGGGATACTCAACAGACATTATTATTAGTTGCTTGGGTTCCCCTGCCCCCCCATCTTTCTGACAAATCCAGAAAAATACCTTTATTGTGGTTTTATTGTATTGTTTTAGATATATGAGAATGTGATTTCAAAAAGAGAAGGTCCTTCTTGTCTGGCCAAAGTGGAACTATGTCAGAAATGTGCAAACAGCGAACAAAATACCCGAACCCAAACCCACTGCTGACCTTGCAGTTAACAGACCTATATTTAACCCACTATGTCACCAAGGCTCCTGCCCAATCGTGAACAGTGGCTCCTAATTCAACGGTTGTCCCATCCAACCAAGTCATGCATGGGGTCTTGGCCATGCACACGGCTATCTCTAAGTGAGAAGGAGAAGCTTCATGGTACAAGTGGTTTAACATGCTTGCCTGTTCACGGAACAGTCTGAAGTTCAAGTCCACCCACGGACACCTCAGAACCCCAGCAAAACAACCAAACAAACGCTTGGTGATCTACTTCTGAAAAATCAGCCATTGACAACCGTGTGGAGCACAGTTCTTCAACAAAACACGTGAGGTACTTCCAGTCTGAATCGATGAAAGGGCAACGCTTTTGTCTTGTTTTTCCTTGTATAAAAGCAAGCCTCATCAAATCTCTTTTGGAAATAAAAGGTAACAGTCACATGAAATAAATTTTGACATGGTCTTTAGTGTGCCTAGGGTTATCTATTGTTTGAAGATGTGTATTTTGTTGTTGCTGTTGATTCTGTTGCTTTCTTCCTCTGGTGCTTTGCGGTTAACTGAACAGTTGGCGGTTTGAGCCCATGCAGGAGTTCTGTGGGACATGGACTCGATGATTTGCTCCTGTCAAGAGTTCAGTCACCTGGAAAAACCTATGAGGCAGTCCTACTCTAGCACACGGGTTGTTGTGAGTCAAGATCAACTTGCCTTACCCTAACAACAATTCCTATTATACAATCTCATTTAC